CAGAATCTGGAACATTTCACCTAGGTCCCTTAGATGGTCGTTCTCATCCTTGCTCTTGACAACCATGTCGTCGATGTAAGCCTCCATTGTTCTGCCTAACAACGGCTCAAACATCTTAGTGACCATTCTCTGGAATGTTGTCCCTGCATTCTTTAGGCCAAAGGGCATGACCTTGTAGCAATACAGTCCTCTTGGAGTGGTAAAGGATGTGACCTCCTGGTCTGGTTCGTACATGGCAATCTGATGGTAGCCTCTGTATGCCTCCAGAAAGCTAAGTCGGTTGTGCCCCGCCGTTAGGTCTACCTATTGATCTATCCGTGGTAGGGGAAGCTGTCTTTTGGGCATGCTTTGTTGACTGTCTTGTAATCGACGCAGACACGCCATTTGCCATTCTTTTTTGGTACCACGACTGTGTTGGAAATCCATATGGGGTAATGTACCTCTCTGATAGCTCCTGCCTCCAGCAGATTCCCACCTCTTCCGCCACTATCTCGGCGTGGTGGTGTGCCGATCTGCGAGTGTGCTGAATGATTGGTCTGGCGGATGGGTGGACATTGAGTTGGTTACAGATGAAGTTTGGATCAATGCCTGGCATGTCATAGGGTGTCCAGGCGAACACTTCGATGTTAGAGGTCAAGAATTCCAAGACCTCTAATCTCTCAGTGCTGGACAACAACGAACCGAGTAAAAAGAACTTATCCGGGTTCTTTTCATCTATTCTTACCTCTACCAAGTCTTCCACCGCTTTTTGATCAGCTGCTTTGCCGACATCTGCGAACAGTTCATGGCTCTCAGGTTCTTCTACTGAATGAACATATCCCTTGGCAGTACGGCTGCCATTAACCGTGACGAAGCACTGCTTAGACATAATTTGGTCTCCAAAGACATCTTCAATTACACCGACTTCGTTGGGGAACCGCATTACTTGATGGTAGGATGACGCCACAGATCGCATGGCATGTAGCCATGTTCTTCCCAAGATTATGTTGTAAGTGGAAGGGACCTTAACACCCAAAACTCCACTTGTTTTGTCACGCTTCCTGTCCTGACTAGAAGAATGATTTTGCCGACTGGCCATTATGGCATTGAATTGAATCCGATCAGGGGGGATACAGCTGGTGCCAGGTCTTTGTCCTCTAATTTCAGTTGTTTGAAGGTTTCGTAGTACATTATCTCACACGAGCTACCTTGGTCTATCAAAATTCGCTTGACGTCATAATCCTTGATGCGGAGGGTGACGACCAATGCATCGTTGTGAGGGCAATATATTCTTTCCAAGTCTTTGTCTAAAAAAGACATGACGTTCTTGGCCTCTATTCTCCCCTTTTTGATAGTAGGTTAGGCACTTAGTATCTCCCTTAAGTGCTCAGCCTTCTTGATCGACCCTCTGAGCTCGCATACACGCTCAGGTTCGAATACTCCATGTATCACATTGATCACTCCTTGAGGTAGGGCGTCAATTGGCATTCCATTGGGTTTATTGTGGTCCTGGGGGGCTGGTTGCGTCCCTCCTTCAATGTATTTATCCAGGTGACCGGCTACCACCAACTCCTCCAGGTGCTGTCTCAATGGCATGCAATTTTCAGTACGGTGCCCCCTTTCTTTGTGGAAGGTGCATCGCGATCTTTCGTCGTAGTCTTTCTATGCTTCTCCTAGCTTAGCTGGCCACCTGACGAAAGGTTCATCGCGTATTTCGCTCAGAATCCGGTAGATCGGTTTCTTAAATACCGTGGTTATGGTAGTGCGGACTCTCAACCATTTTTTATCCTGGTCCTCTCTGTTGTCTCGCCTGCCTCATCCATTTTTGTTCTGACATTCTACCGTGTTGATCTTTGCTGTGGTCTTTTTATCTGGTACTGCAGTCGTGCTAGATTTTATTTTGGCACGGGCGCCATCCTCTTTCACCCTGATGTGCTGATGTACTCTTTCCATCAAGGCCTCCATGGTGAGGGGCGGTGTGATGGTGATTGAGTCCCTTAGTCTGTTTCCGACTGGAAGGCCTCTTTTGTATTGTGCAATGGCGAGATTGGTGGGGCAGTCCCCAATCTGGTTGAATGTTTCCCAGTAACGACTATTGTAGGATCTTAGTGTCTCCTTTTCGCCCATGTCGATGGAGAGTAACTGGTCAATCTTCACCGGGGTTTTGGTGTTCGTTCTGAACCTTGTGACGAACGCCTCTGCCAATTGTGCCCAGGAGGCTATGCTGCCTTCTGGAAGTTTTTCGAACCAAGTCAAACCTAGGTCACCAAGGCTTGATGGGAAGAGGATGCACATCAAAGTTTCGTTTCGCCGATATATCGCCATAACCTGGCGGAAGTGGCTTAAGTGTATGTAGGGGTCCGTCTTCCCCTCATACGTGGTGAATTTGGGTTGAAGGAAACCCGAAGGAAGGGGCACGTTTTCGATTGCCGGAACGAACGGCGAGGTCTGCACCCTTGCTAATGCTTTGTCCGTTGGTTCGTAGGCAGGGTGTAGCAACGGTATTCCGACCTCGACGCTTCCATGCGTCCGAGGAGCCAACCGCTGAAGGGCAGATACGCTGCGAGGGTTGCGCGCCCCAGTGTCCTCCTTCCATCGTGCCTTTTCTTTTAGCATGATCCGCAAATCGGATGATCTTGGCAACTCTGTCTACCTGGATAATGTCGGATACGAGCGCGAGGGTCTATAGGTACTTCCCTCTGTGTAAGACCTCAATGATCTCGTTCTCTCAGACCTGGAGAAACGAGTTCTGGAGGTTCTAGATTGAGTATCGCCTGTCCTGAGACTTCTACTCTCTACTTGAGATGGTGTGGAATGCCTTCCACGGTCTTCTGAGCGGCGAGGGGGCGTCTTGCTTTTGCGCCCCTCTCCTGTCGCCACTCCTTTTCCCTTCATCTGGCGCTTCATGGCCTCCATGTCCACCGACATCTTCCTTATTAATTCATCTTGCTCCTTCACGCGGTCCTCCAGAACTTGAGGATCAATCCTCTACCTTTGTTTGTCAAGACCTCGTGAATGAGAGTGACGGGGGCTGTTAGTCCGCCTCCTCCCCCTTGTATCCCTCCTGGGATTTTGTCGCTGTGGCTCTAAGTCCGCCATGGGAGGGATAGAAGGTAGGCCTTTACGTCTTACACCCCCCTCTAGTGTTTGTCCGTCGATGGCGGACTGTGGCAAATCTTCGTTATACGCCATTGCTTTTTTAGAGGAAAAGCTTGATCAAGAGGTCTTGTTCTAGTCTGTAACTCCCACAGACGGCGCCAATTGTACGGGAAAAAAATAAACCTTTCCGTATAATCCTGTTGATCAAGTCTGCGCTCCTTCAAACGTCGTTGCTTTATTCCCTGAAAACACAAACGTGAGCTAGCCGGCGGGTGTGTACCGGAAACCCCTCCGATGCCTAAGTCAGAAAAATAGACAAAGACAAGAAGCTCTGTGTATCAAAATTGTGTGTTACCTCTCCAAATGTGATATTTGTGAGCTTTTATAGGTTTCGTGTGGCATAATCCAAGTAGGACTTTTACTTCTCCATGCAGAGTCCTCCTAGGATTCATACTCCTGAAGGATAATGCTTATCCTTTAACACCCCCCTCACTGTTTAAACCAAATGAGATGGTTTTACCATGGCCAGACTACCATACAACCGAAATAACATTGCCATGCCAGACTAACTGGAGTGACCGATCTAACTGTTAGTTCAGCTCTTCCTTGCTTTTCTCCTACCTTGGCTTCACATGCCAAGATCGAGCTATCCATAGAAGAGTTTAAGCCGAACTAACCCAAAACCAAGTCCTGAAGAGGGCTCAGTATACTTCGGTTCCCTATGCCATGACCGAACTAACCATACTGTGACAACCGGTACAAGTTTTAGTATGGTGACCAAGCTAACCTCTTTGGGATCGGAGTAACTTTATGGCATTTTTACTCAACCCTTCACACTAAGGCCTACAACGGCCCAACTCGGCCCAATTTACATATAAATTCCCCTCTCATTATCAATAACTCATGCAATCAACATTTGAAAATTTAAACTGTTTATATTATATAAATAATCACAAATACAAGTACCCTTGACGTGAATGAATTATGATAGCTATACAAAATTGAAGTTGTCTAAGTTTGTAAAATCTTTTGACATGGTATTAGAGACTTTGGACTGAATCCTGCTTCCCCGGTGTTTTTATTTTTAATTTTTTTTAAGGTCTAGTCTACCCTATATAGCCAATCACCATTAGAGAAAAAAATACATTAGTACAATATTACTTATGTAATCACAAAAGTTTTACTCCAAGTCCCCTCATATAATAACAAGTTTAGATGTATTCAAATTGAGGTTTACTTACAGTGGTGAAATTGTAAAAATGTTGATCCTTCACTCGAAATTAAAAGTTTAAACCAATTTAAAAAATAACTCATCGTTGTCGTCAGTAGCTACTCACTACTTTCTCCTCTCTTTTTTTGTTCCTTCTCACAATTAAAATGATCTACTTTCGTGTATTTTTTGTCACAAAACAAAAAAGGAAATGAGTTTTCTGTTATTTTTATTATGGAATTATGATGGAGTTATGGTGTTAAAAGACGTTAGAGACGAAATAAGCAATCAAAGATGGAGAGAATTTACATTGTTTATTATGTTGGCTAGAAAGCCAATTTATAGATTACATGTTGTATATACAAACAAAACCCAAAAGTCATCCTAACATTATTACATATCTACTTTGTTGACAAACACCACACCAATACAACCAAAACTTTACAAAGCCTACAAGTCTATGTATATACTTTTACAAAATGTCTTCATAAAAATAAATACAAGGAAATATAAAGACAAAAAAGTTTAAATGCAAAACTACAATTATTTGTCATATTCTGACAATCTCTATAGTTTCTACAACTATATACACTGTCTACCCTCTCCGATTTTCAAAGGATAGACTAAAACAGATAAGATTTGGTTGATCTTTTCTGTCATGTAGCGTCGGTTGAAAGGATTTGTCTGACCACTTTCCGCCTAATTAATGCAGGTTGCTCCACGTGTCCTGGATAAGGTTGGAGTCGAACAGGAGACAATCGCATGGGGTAGTGGGGTCCATTATGCTTCCATTCTGTTGATGAGATTATGATACTCTCCATCAGTTTCTGATGAAGGGGAATCGGGATCTTGGCTGTATTGCTCATTCCGAAAATATTCTACATCATCCGCGGTCATGGCTAGTTCCAATGGAAGATCCAAATTATTTCTCTTTTTGAGATTTAATAACATGTCAAGAGTCTCATTAATTTGTGTAGGAGACCTTTGATATGTTATGGGAAAATGAGTTACAAATAGTATTCTACCATCTGTGACCATAAATGGCAATTTGGCTGAGCCATGACTATTAAACGCTACTTGTGAAACTGATATTAGACTGTCTATCCAATATTCTGTTAAAAGAAGTTTTTGAATAGTTTTCAATTGCTTCCTCTGGCGATCTTCATCTAAATAATCATCTTCAAATTTAAAATCTTCAGTTTCTATTAGATACCAAATCTAGTATGGTTGGAAAAAATGTTCTCGTTCTCGTCAACCAATAGTGCTGAAGATCCAGAAAGTAAAATATTTACTCTATCGGAAGCCTTTTACTACCCATGAGAGCATTGCTTTTATGATCATTGGATATTGTATCCATTGGATCAGATAAAAAATTTGGAAAATAACTTGATCAACTCCGCTACGTAGCTTGAAATATCAACGGCTCGAATGGCTCGAAATCCCAAAACGACGTCGTTTTAGGATTTTTTTTTATTCTCTTACCGGTAAGATAATATTTTTCGTACCATTCGGGCCATTCGAGCACTACGCATTCGAGCTCTCATGCATTTTCCTAACTTGATTAGTTATTTCTCAATCTATATCTTCAAAATACCACATGTCATGATTTGCCATGATGGTTATTTTGGGAATTCCATCTTTAAAATTTAATTTATTATAGGATTGTTCTAAGATTTGTCTAATCTTATCACGATGATCCTCAACTCGATTTTTTATTAATAGAAAATTTTCTTTTAGGAGCAAAGTTCTTGCTTTTTCAAAATAATAAATTCTTTTTATTTGTTCAAAAACTGGATCAAAAAACTCATCTAATATGAGGTCTGATAGTTGAAGAAAATTGTTTATTTTTTCAAAATTAAAATCTTCATTCCAATTCATTTGTTTAAGGATATTGAAACAAAGATTTTACAAATCTTTTAATTTAGCTATTTGCTCAGCTAATTTGTTGGCCGCTCGTATGTATTTTCGAAATTTCACTTTGTTATCTACAATGTGAGTTTTCCAAACTCCATTGAGTTCTGTATAAATTTCTCTAGATATACCAGGGTTGAAAAAGTCTTTTATTTCAGATTCATCTAGTTTAGATGACTGAATATTAGTTGGAACTGGGTGAGTTCTCATTTGACAAAAATTCTTTTGATAAACAGGCATAACTGGTGCACTGTAAAAGGCTTTTTTTAGCTTTGGTCATGCTATCATATGATTTGTGATTGGCTCTTGGAAATCCACAAACTTGCTTGTTGCATTTATTCCAGTCTATGTAAATTCCAGGTTATTTTCCTGCGAATATAACATAAACTTTTTCTTATCTGGGGATTGCTTTTTTAGCAATTGTCACCCAATCTCCTTGAGCGGGTTGTTTACCCTTGTCTATTGTTTCCTCTTGGTCTAGAGATCTTCTGCAAAAATTAAAATTACTTGTCTAGTAATTTAATTTTTTGAAACAATTTCTTCTAAGAAAATTTGCAAGAAAATTGTTAATACCTTTAAGATGTTCTATCTCAAAAGTATATTCAGAAATTTTATTATACCAAGCTAATCTTCTTCCTTACTCAATAGGTTTTTTATTGATCAAGAAATCTCTTACTGCCTTATTATCAATGCGTACAATAAAATTTTTTGGGGCTAAATAAATATGAAAACTTTTTATTGCAAGTAATTCTTTTTCAAAAATAATATATTTCTGTTCATTTAGTTTAAATGTTCCAGAATCATATCCACAAATTAATTCTTCTTTTTGTTGGTATTGGATTTTTTCTTGGTCTAATCCCATTTTCTGATAAATATATCTCTTTATCATGTTATAAATTACTTGGTATTGATTTAAGAACATATCCCTAGCATACTTCTGAGGCATCTGTTTCTAAAATTAATTTATGACCTGTTTTAAGAAGATAAACATCTGATAAAGTTCTAACATTTTCTTTAATTTGTTTAATTAAAACAAATTTTCCTGTTATCCATTCAAAAATAATATTTTTCCTTAATTTGGTTAACCAAGGAATTTCTACTTTTGAAAGATTTTTTTATAAAATTTCATCCATAATTTAAAATACCTAATAAACTCTGTAATTGTGTTATATTTTCAAGAGTATCAGGAAAATCTCGTGCTTTGGACAAAATATGTTCTTGTAGTTTTAAACATTTCTGGTCTAAAATTATTCCCAAAAATTCAATTGATTCTTTTTTTAGTTTAATCTTTTTCGGAGACAAAATAATTCTAGGTTTTTAGAATTTTTGACAAAGTAATTTTAAATGTTTCTTATGCTCCTCCCGGGTTTTGGAGAAGATAAATATATCATCAATATAAATTACACAACAATCTTTAAGATCTTTAAAAATTGTATCCATCCACCATTGAAATACCTGTGGTGCTATATTTAAACCCAAAAGCATAACATTTTAGTGGTAATGTCCTCTATGTGTATTGAAAGCTGTCAATTTTTTTGACTCTTCAGTCAATTGAATTTGCCAAAATCCACTCTTACAATCAAATTTGCTAAAGATTTTTTATCCTTTGGTTAAGTTAATCAAAACATCTTTTCTTAGAATAAAATATGCATCAAATTCTAAATTTTCATTTAACCGTTTATAGTTGACTACCATTCGGGCTTTTCCTTTTTTAATTTCGGTATGGTGTCTTACCATAAAAGCTGGACTAGAGTGAGCGCTTCTAGTTTCTTCAACTAACTTTTTGTCTAAAAGTCCCTAAAGTTGAATATCAAATTCATCTATATCTTGTCTATTATAGATCATTGGTCTTACTCTAATGATAACATTATGGTCTTTCAATTTTAAACTACAATAACGTGGACTACGTTGCCATAGTTTTAATGGATGTTCAATAAAAAAATTTTATAAAATTTTATAAATCCAATGTGTTTCATCAATAGTTTTGATGATGGGAGTTAAATCACCACGTGGAACGGGCACAAACTCTTTGTCACAAATATATTTATGTTGTTCTAGTAAGGGAATATGAATTAAGACATTATTTATGCTTAATTAAATGGTTTTTTTTCTTGTATTTGTATTGGAAGGTATTTATAGATAAAATTATTTCCTAGAAGGAAATCTCCATGCATATACTGAAAACGTAAAAAATTTAGTATACTGAACTTGCTATCATTTAACCAAATACCTATATTTTTAGCCTTGAATTGTATGGAAGTATAGTTGCCATCAATTCCAGTAACCAAAATTGGATGTTTCATTAATGTCCATTTTTCTTTTGGGATGGCATTCCATTTACAAGAGCTGATTGTAGCTTATGTATCTATGAGAACACTGAGGCTATAGAGTTTATAACCTACAAAATTAAATGTTCCCAATACATATATGTATCTTCTTTTTCCTTGGCTTGGAGAAAAAATAATATCATCATTTTTTGTTTGAAAATGATACATATATACAGACTTAATATGTTCGGATTGTCTTCTTGTTCCTGAGAAAATAGGAATCTGAACATTTGTTGAAGTAATAAATTCTTGATTAGAATTATTACTCAATTCACCAATGCTTAATTTTGACAATGCTTTGTTAGGAAAATCTTTTTCAAATATAGAAGTAGATCTTTTAATTTTTGGAACTATATTTTCAATATATAAATTTTTTCCTGACGCTTGTATTTGCATTTGTGCAGGATATTTTGTTTTAGAAAATTTTCCTTGTTCTACTAGGTCATGGATTAACCATTATCGAGGGACTTCTAAATCACTCCAATTCATTAGACGAGGTTGGATTACCATGTCAAATGATCTAGGTTCAAAGATTTCAACGATTTTATTATCGTTTGATTTTGTTTTTGTTTCAGGAAATTTGGTTAATTCGTGAATTGTTTTATAAGGAATAGCCAAATCATGTGAATTAGATTTCATTCCTAATCCTTGTGTTTTAATTCTTATTCTAATTGTGTCTTCAGGATTAAGATCAGTTATGAAAAATAAAGAAATTTGGTCTAACATTAAACCAAACTACTCCATTAGCCAAATTAGATTGGATTCCTCCAATGATTGCTTTCATTGGGTCGGAAAATCTTTTGTCAAAAATTATTGTCAAAACAAGAGTATCTATCCTTTGGCGGAATAAGGCTGTCATGGTTACCTGTATTAATCCAATATGAATATATTGAATTTCAGGATATTTCTTTTTCCATCTTACAACCTTTTTCTTATCAAAAAAAGAAATATCAATATTTCCTTCTTCTGACCATTTTGCTTGAGTGTTGCCACTGTATTGTTCAAAACTCATGCTGAAAAGAAGTTGAATTTTGAAAGTTTATAAATTTCTGACATCGCAACTTCTTGCATTTTTTCGAATTTTGTTAATTCTTATTCAGTAAAAAAATTTTCTTCTCCGATTACATCTCCAAGTTGAATGGCTTATAATTATTCTGGAGATATACTATCTGCTTCTTGAGATATTTCTTGATTATTAATATTAGTCATCATGAAGATTAGTTTTTTCATCTGAACTTTCTTCATCACTAGAAATTTCGTATAAGATTTTTCCTTCATCAGAAATTTCTTCGCTACATATTATTTCAAATTCTCGTTCTTCAAGAACTTTGATAATTTTCTTTGCAATTTTCCCTCCCTTTTGGGCATTCGGGTGCATAGTGATCCTCTTTGTTACAAATGTAACATTTATAAGTTTTTTTTTTTTTTGAAACACTTGTTGGTTTCTTTTTTCGAATATACTTTTTCTTTCTTGGAATTTTTTTGTTCTTTTTCCAAGGTTTCCATTTATATTTTCTGCATTTTTTGGAAAATCTTTTTCACTTAGAAAAAGTATTACAACCAATTTTTCAATTTTCTTTCAAAATTTTATCACAACATTTTTGACCATATTGTGAGTTTGAAATTTGATTTTTTATTTGTTTTTTCGCCTTTGCTTCTAGACACCAATCTGCTATCAGTCTCAGAACATAATTAATGCGAAAACCAAGATTATCATATTCTTCCTTTCCTATTTTTTTGAGAAAATCAGGATATGTTTTAATACATAACCCATCCCATGGATTAGGGA